TCTTTCATTGGCTGAAAGCGTATCTGTGATGCATGTCATCTCAAATTGCTAACTGTGAATATAAACTTTCCAAATACTCATATTTAATCAAAACAACATTTCTGCAAAGTTTTTATTATTTTATTTAAGGACTGTGTTATGCTAATTTTCCTTTAAAAATCACCTACTTTTGTCTGGATTATGCCATTTGTTTTTCATTAGGTGTCTTGTTTTCTTTGGAGTTTTTCCTTTGTTAAAATTTTAAGTTGTTATTCCCTTTTACAGTTCTGCTACTGGTCACTTATTTTGTTTTCGTGTTACTCTGAACTTTCCTATGAGACCTACATGGAATAATTTCAGTGTTTCTCTTTTCACAACATATTATATACTATTTTGTCCTGTATAAGAGAAAGCACTGAGTATAGGGTACTTAGTCCTTTAAGTTTTTGCTGTGAAATAAGATTTGATATGAAAATAATTACTCATTTGTGAATTTCTTTTTACAGTGTTATTCAGTCATAGCCCTTCCTGTTCTGCATTATTCTTCTCAGTTCCTTAAATTACTCATAACTTTCTTATTTCCTGATTCTGATGTCAAGAAGACCTTAAACCACTTTTCCCCACCTTTACCTCCACTATTCATTAGTCTTCCTTTGTCAGCAGGAATTACTTTAAAAGCTTTTACTCTTTGCCTCAAAAATTGCCTCTTGTACTATTTTACTAAGTGTCTCTCCAAAGTAGCTACATAAGAAGTACAATTCCTGTGTACTTCAGAAAGTATTAAAGCCATCCTTTATAATACTCTTCTTTGTAATGGCAGTGAAGTATTCAGTTATGTATATGTATAAAGTATAATGTTTAATGTCCCTATTAGAGTTATTAATAGAAATTCCATTTAATTTTGCTGATGTGTTACAAGTACCTCTGAGAAAAGTGATAATATTCAACATAAGTATTAGAAAAATAGTAGGGAGGTACTTACATACAATTTTGAGGCAGTTTAATATTCTTCTGTCATTTTAGATATTATTTTTGGAATTCCCCTTAAATTGGGCCAGATGTCTGCCTTTTTATGTGTATATTTTTAATCTGGATACATAGATCTTATTTGATAGAGAATTATGTGTTACTGTTAACTTTATACATGTACTTTAGCTTTCTTTAATTAGCAAGTTACTCTTGAAGACTAGGGACTTTTTTTTTTTTAAACCACATTTGCCACATAAGTGGGTTTTTTTTCTTTACATAGATTATTTTATGGTTAGATTTAGGTATGATATCTATTGAGTTTCTTCTAGTTTAGCTTATTTTATATTACAAACCATTTTGTCTCTATTTCTCTATAATAGTTTTATTTTAAACTTTAAATGAATTCATACAGAAATCATCTTTAGAACTATGGCTCATCAATGTGGTAAATTTTGGAGCAACCACCTCATTTGGTCCTGATTGCCAAAAATGCAGTATAACCACTTACTATTGAAGGAAAAAAGAGAAGGAAAGAAAGACATGAAGAAAGGACCGAGGGAGGAGAAGGAGAAAGAGCATGCAGGCAGGGGAAGTCTAGGAAGCCGTGCGTGGGGAAGACTGGTATCACGGCACCAGCAGCCGCCAGAAGCTGCCGTCAGTGCAGCACACGTGTGCTCAGCAGTGAGCTCGCCTGGAGCTGTGTGGGGGTGGAGTGTACAGTGCTGAAGGAGTGGCAGTTTCTGCCCTAGTGGAGTTCATAATCCTTCAGGGAAGTCAGTCAAGTAAGTATTTAGATATGATAAAATGTGCTAAGTGTTAGATTAAAAGGCAAGTACAGAGTCTGCTTGGCTCCCAACCTGCTTGTTCCCAAGAACTAAGATGTCACTGTAGGAAGTATGAAGTCATAGTGTTTTAAAGGGTCTGCCTGTTCTGAGTTCTATTCAAAAGAAGACAGACCACTCTCGACATGGTAAAGGACTATATTCTATTTTTATGACCTTTTTAAAAACACAAGTCTGTTAAAAAGGATATGGATAAGTGTAGTACCTTATATTTTAAATGTTGAATGAAAAGAGGAATAAAGGGATTTTATGAAATCGTTTGTTAGAAGGTAATAAGTTCCTTTTCTCTTGAGATACTCAAATACTAGATGACTTTCAAGAACATTATAAGTGTAACTGCTGTTGAGTGGGAGGTTGGACTACATGGCTTTAATTCTATGTCCTGAGTCACAGTGGGGGCTTCCCTGGTGGCTCAGAGGTTAAAGCATCTGCCCGCAATGCGGGAGACCCAGGTTCGATCCCTGGGTCGGGAAGATCCCCTGGAGAAGGAAATGGCAACCCACTCCAGTGTTCTTGCCTGGAGAATCCCATGGACAGAGGAGCCTGGTAGGCCACAGTCCACAGGGTCGCAAAGAGTCAGACACGACTGAGCGACTTCACTTTCACTTTCACTTTCCTGAGTCACACTATGTAGTTAAAACATATTTTCCTCTAGCACATTATTCTTAAAAGATTTGAGAAAACAGGTTAATTACTAACAATTGCTTGTCCACATTGTTAAATCAATGTGTACATGTTATTTTATTGATTGCAGATGGGAAACTATATATGTAGATTTTGTTTTAAGGTAGACCAAAGATTTATGAATTTACTCTTCAAGAGAGTTTAGGCCAGTTCTGGGGTTTTAAGCTAATAACTATTGTTACAAACTTCCCATTATACAGTTAATAGAGAAAAATGGATTGTTGAGTAGATCTTTGACTTGGATGTTATGATGTTGGGGGTTTTAAGGGTGTAAAGGAATGTTGTGGAAGACTGTCTAGCGAGAGGAGGTCTGAGAAAAGAGCCACAGTGAGGTTCGCATGGTTATATTAATAGTAAAATCAAGCAGTTGTTTTTAAGACTTAATTTAGGTAGCTTTCAGATCTTAGTAATTTAAATCTAAGTTTTTCCATTTATTTATTGGGGGATTTTTAATCTAATAGTGATCTGTCTAGGATATGTTAATTAAATTTTTATAGTGGTGGTTCTAAATGGATTCAGAAGAGGGAAAATTCTTGAAGATCACTTTGTGTCATTTAGATCCTTCACCTTTTTATTTATTTATGAGTATGCCATTGACCTTTTTAATATTTAGCAAGAATAATGTATCTAACTGATTTTAATGAGGTTTTATAGTTGTTATTAATAATTATATCATTTTTGAAACAAAAAGTAAGCCAAGCAGTCCTTCCTATTTTCTTGTGGTGTAGTTACATTGAAAGGAATCACTCCCTACTTTCTTAGTACAATACTGTAGTATCTCTGGAATGTGACTGATTTATCCTTTCTTTCCTACATCTTTTATTATCATATTCTACATAGGAAGGAAAAGTTTCTAAAACAGTGTCTTTGGGGTTATTTTTAAAAATGAAGGTGTTTACAATTTTATAAATATATCTGGATTTTACATATATTGCTTATTATTTTTTTCTTACACTTTGTTTTCACATGACATCTCTTATTTTCAATACTCATTTCAAGTAGTTTCTTAGTGTGTATGTGAAAAAAAAGTAGGCAGTTTTTGTTGCCTTTGAATTTGAAAAAGAAAATGAATTATAAGATTAGTTGTTTTTCCCATGATCTTAATAAGAGTTAGGTTTTTAATGCTTTGTTTACGAATTTAAATTTTAGTTTGGGAAGAACAGCAGTAGTAACAGTAGTTATTGATAGTAATTATAGTCTTTAGTAGAAGTCATAGCTGCCACATTAATAATAGTAGGAGGAGGAGCCTCTATTTGGCAGGTTAAGAAAATAGCTTAGAGAAACACACTATCTTGTTAGTGGCTTAGCTGTAATTAGAAACCAGGTTTGCCAACCCATTGTTGTTTCCATAATGCTATACTGTGTCAATCTGATGTTTGAGATCATGGCAGAGAAAATGCTTTGCCAATGACAGTGTTAGGCAACGATGAGGTGTTGGTTTAATATAAAGTGATCTCTGGCCTCAACTGACTAAAATGGAGAATGTGAAATGATAAGCAGTTTTTTGGCAAAAGGGAGAGGGGAACAAAAAAACAACTGAAAGTCAAGTATGTTATATTGGAGCACTGTGTCTCAGCCTTTTAGTGCAGAGTTTTGTGGTTGGGTTGGGTTTACTGTGACTTTATTGGTTCCTGACCCTTATTTCTCTGTTTAACTGCATGACTTCTAGTCATGCAAATATGGCAAGATGATAGCCTTTTTTGATCTTGGACTGTTTTGTTTTTTACAGCCAAGATTTATGTATTTTTCAGTCAAAGATGATTAACTCAAATCTTTCTTTTGAGTAGAGTTAAAGCATAGGAATCCTGTACTCTTGGAGCTTAAAATTTTTAGTGTACAAAAAGTAGGACATGCACATTCTGGATTGTAAAACTGAGAAATAAGTGGGCCCTCTAAATAAATAAACATTTACACTATGTCAAGAGTGTAGTGTTCATTCCAAGGGGGAAAATGAGTAGGGAACTTAAGACAGAAGTGTTGTCACTTTCACTTAGGGAGGGCCCTCTTAGAAGAGGTGAGAATTTTGAGTTTTCTTTCTTTTTTTAAATAAGGGAGGAGGAGGAAAACATCTGAGCCTAATGGGTTAATTTAGGGAACAGGAGAACTAAACAGTGAGAATATAAAGTTGAGATTAGGGGACTGGAGGATTCAATTGAACAAAAAGTAGGGGGGAAATAGGAGGGTAATCTAGGTGGTTTTGTGCATGTTCCTTTAGCTTAATTATTGTTGCTCTGGAGCCTAGTATGGGGCTTTTGGGAGAGACGGAAATTATTCTGAAAAAGCAGGATAAATCCTAATTTGAACAGCAGCACATGTAATTAATGAGAAGGGAATAGTGCTAGAAGTTCATGAAGGAGATTGATGTACCAACTATTCTTGGAGAATTTAGATAATTTAAATAGACCTATTATTTATGTAAAAGACTATTTTTAATTTAGAAAAGTGAAGTATCATGTATGAAGGATGATCTTTGGTGCTATTAGACATTGCTGGAATTTATTGCATTTTTTTTTTTCTCCCCTCTAGGGTTTGGATTCAGGATTTGTTCCTAGTGTCCAGGACTTTGATAAGAAACTTACAGAGGCTGATGCATACCTACAAATCTTGATAGAACAGTTGAAGGTATGGTATTCGATTATATATTGAATTGATACAAAGTAGTAAATGTTCCAGAGCTTGATTTTGAGTAAAAACAGTTACTTAATGTTACTGACTCGACGGACATGAGTTTGAGCAAGTTCCGGGAGTTGACGATGGACAGGGAATCCTGGTGTGCTGCAGTCCATGGGGTCGCAGTCGGACATGACTGAGCGACTGAGCTGAATGTTACTTTACAATGCTTACTAGTCCTTCAGCAATTTTTTCTTTACTTCAGCAGTTTTTAAAACTAACCTAATAATTAGAAGGAAATAAAACAAGGTTAGTTTCATATTTTGTTTAAAAGTTCTCTGAAACTGGTAAATTTCAAATGGTTTAGTTTCTAAGGCCTTTTTTTATTTGGGTGAGTTAGGGGTTTGGAAGAGTTTTATTTCTTTTTTATCATTACTAAAATTATCTCTTTCAATTCCCACTTTAAAATTAATTACAAGCAAAGGTCCTGGAAAGAAAAAGGAATGTTGATAAACTTGAAAGACAAGGCAGAAGAAAACAGGTTCCGAACTGACATTTTAAGTTCTTAAAGTCATATATTTTCTTCTGCTTTGTAATGCTTCCACAGTAATTGATCTTGACTGTTTAAGATAGTTCAGTAGAATTTGACTTGATAACAATGCCTTGGAAAAATACATGTTATCTTGTATTTTAAGAAACATTATACTTTTAATCCATGTATAAATCATCCCCAGAAGAAATATGTTTGTTTTTCTTTGTTTAGTAAACATATACAATGTAGTAAAGTAGCTTGATATTATAGTCTTTTTTTTTTTTTTAATCCTGTAGCTTTTTGATGATAAACTTCAAAACTGCAAAGATGATGAACAGAGAAAGGTAACTTCCATAATCATGATTTTGACTTAAAAAAATTTTAAACCAGGAGCCTTTTGGAGAAGTAATAGAAGGACCTCAGTATTTTGACTACTTTAACAGTACTGTTGACCTCTTATAATGTGCCATATAGATTTTAAGGGGAGTTTTCTGGTGCATTTCTGGTATGGTTTCATAATTGAACAAAAGAATAACTGAAATTTTTATTATGATACCCTTTTTGTAAGTACCACCTTCCTAGGAATAAGTTCTTTCTGTTGAGGGATCATATGTTGAAGGTAGAAATTTATTAAATTTATATGTGGTCACTTCAGATATTAATAAGGCAACTGGTAAAATTTTCAAAATAAACCCAAAGCCACAGATGAGGACAAAAAATGAATTTTGCTTTAATTATAGTTTCTCCCTTTGGGTTTCTGATAACCACTTTGTAGTTTGAATATTGTTTTCTTTTTTCAATTAATGTTTTCCTTTTCCTTGACTAGATTTCCTGATGCACCATCTTTTTTTTTTTTTTTTTTTTTTTGCATTTCTATTAGCCATAGCCTTGCATTTGGCTCTTTTACACTTGGTAATAGTAGTGAGTCATGTTCAGCTCACCTTCTTAGGTTTGAAATTTAGTTTCATATCATTTTTAAGCAGCTTTGCAAAGTTTAAAGTGATTCTAAAATAAGCATTTTAAAATCACATAGCATATCCTATAGAAAAGAAACTTGCTTTCAGGTAAGAAGTAAGAATGTTTTATATTATTGTTACAAATCTTGAATCACATGAATTTTGTTTGAGGATGTAATCCATAAAGTGTCTGAATTTTTTATTTAAATGTTTGATTTAAATTAAGAAGTACAACTAAAACCACTCTGCAACCTTCCTGAACTCACTTAGAGTAATGAGTACATTTTTAGTAAAAAATTTTTAAATGTCTAACCAGTAAAAAACAGCAGTGTTATCTCCTTGTGTTTCTGACAGTTTATTTAAACTTATTTTTCACAGAAAATTGAAACCCTCAAAGAGACAACAAATGTAAGTTATGTGTTTGATTAACTCTGGCTTTACATTAGAAAGTGCTTTAAAATGTTTCTGTTTTAAGCTGCTACTATTAATAAGAGCAATTGAGATTTTAATTTTTATGAATTTTTACTAGAGTTTAAGAATTCTGTTATTTTCTAAAGGAATTTAAATGAATAGAATAATCCCTTTAATTGAATTGACTTCATATGCCATTTTATGTTTCTGGTCTTGTCTTTTTGAGATCCTTGGATAAAAGGTGTTATCTGTGTACAATGTATATTCGAGTTTTCTGGTATTCTGGCCTCCTGACGTTACGTACTGGACGGCTAATAAAATTTCTTTTTTCTTTTTTTTTCTTTTTTTCATTTATTTTTATTAGTTGGAGGCTAATTACTTTACATCATTGCAGTGGTTTTTGTCATACATTGAAATGAATTAGCCATGGATTTACATGTATTCCCCATCCCGGTCCCCCCTCCCACCTCCCTCTCCACCCGATCCCTTAAAATTTCTATTTTGATGAAAGCATTTTAGATACAGATATAGTAATATTGTAGGTTCACCAATATTTTGATAGGATCCTTTATTCTCTGTAATTCCATGAAAGTCTTGAATAGACATTTTGAGAATTTACATTGAGATAGCCTGCTGTTTATCTAAGAATTTGGAAGTTAATTAGATTTATATACCTTTGTTTGAAGTGTTAAAAAACCCGTTAGATGTTATTCAGACTCTTCTGATCCATAGTCAGAGGCATTATCCATTATGCCACCGGTCCCATACTTAGATGTTATTCAGTGTAAAATAACAATTTTTTGGCATTCCCAAACGATTCATAGAATTGCTAATAATTTCATTTGACACTATCAGCATATTCCCTGGTGTCTCAGACAGTGAAGAATCTGCCTGCAATGCAGGAGACTTGTGTTCAATCTCTGAGTCCAGAAGATCCCCTGGAGAAGGAAACGGCAACCCACTCCAGTATTCTTCCCTAGAGAATCCATGGCTAGAGGCTACAGTCCAGGGGGTGGCAAAGAGTCAGACACACACACACACACACACACATATATTAGAACCCACTCGAAATCAGAGAGGGTATTTCTTATGTAGAGAAGACTTAAATCCTGTGTATTTGAACTGATTTTTATATTTTAAGCTTTAACATTATTTGGCCATTTTATTGGGGGCAAGATCCTAATATCAGTATTTTGTTTTTGTAGAGCATGGTAGAATCAATTAAACACTGCATTGTGTTGCTGCAGATCGCTAAAGTAAGTAAATTTTATTTTTGATTATTTTCATTTAATGGGATTTAAATGTAATGGCATTTTTCTCTAGTAACCAAAATACTCAGTTCTGAAATATAGTACCTTTCTACAGTAAATTTAAGTTCTATTTTGGGGTTCCTGTTACTGTTGAAAAACTGTTGTGTTTGGATGTTGCTTGCCAGCCTGTGCCTGTTTTTGATGAAGTCATTTGTGATGGTGGCTGGGAAGGAAGGGAGCACATTTGAACGACTTACCCTTTCCATATTATCACTGCTTGAAACACAGACATATTTTGCAAAATCTTTCACGAAAAAGTTTTTCTTAGGGAAAAAAGAATTGAATTTTAGCTGAGTTTTTTTGTTTATCCATAATGAAGAGTATAATGGAGATAAAATTGTTTTTTACACATTTTTTCTAGTACTGAATTACATTAATAAACTGCTATTCCTTATTCATAGAATAAATATTTTTGATTATTGTGATTGGCTAAGAATTTCACGAATATTGTCTGCTTTTCTGAAAAACTTTGGTGTATTTAACCTAAATGTGTACTTGATTGCATGATATTTTGAGAAATAAAAATTTTAGAATTTGAAAATAAGTATTTAGAAAAATTTTTTTTTTTTTTTTGTTTTAAACCATTGACTGTAACTCTGTATTTCTAGCCAGTGGCTAGAAGCAGGTGGGGAGCCAATTCAGCAACCAGGTTTGGAAATGTTTAAGTTTTTAATTATTTTGCCTATTTTACGCATTCAGTTGTATATACTTGTTTGCCTAATAACGAACACTATTTTCCTAGCATTGTTAATGACACAATAGTATAGAAAAATGTGTTTCTGCTTAGATAGTATGTCTATTAAGCTTGTAAGTGTAGGGGTGAGGGGAAGTATTGTTTTCTTTTGAGGCTATTAAAGTGTCAGAACTTAAGGACTTGTGTTCATTTTCTAGGTATTTTTGATGACTATGCCTGATTTCTATATATGTTTCTAAATTTCCCATCTATTTTTGTGGATCAGAATGTATTCTAAAGGGAAAATAGGGTTGGAAGGATAAGGGGGGTAAGGTTTTTATTTTGTGTTTTCTTTACTGTGAAATTACATGAGTGGGTTGGGGCACCTACAATTAACCCAAAAGGTTATATACAGATAACCAGTAAAAAACATTAAGCTCAGTGTGAGTAGATAGGTATTTTAGGGACTGTCTTCTCTAGAAGACTGAGGAAGAACTGATAGTGTTTAGACTACTTTGGGTCATCTCTGCAAATCATGGAATTCTCCAGGCAAGAATACTGGAGTGGGTTGCCATTCCCTTCTCCAGGGTATCTTGCTGACCCAGGGATCAAACAAACCTGGGTCTCCTTAATTACCGGCAGATTGTTTACAGTCTGAGCCACCAGAGAAGCCCATTCAGTACTTTAAATAGCTGCTCTTTGTAAAACAGAGCAGCCTAGCCTCTTTCAGTAGCTCACCATTTAGCTACCCAAGAAGAACATTTTTGATGCTCTGTCTTTTGAATGAGTTACAATTCAAATTAGGAAAACTTTACTCTAGAAATTTGTACAATTAAGTCAGTACTTGCTACCTGTTTGTTTTAGCCCAGCTTAATGGACCTGCATTTCAGTTTAGAATGGATAACATGGATCAAGTAAATGGAGTTTGGCTTTTAAATTTTTTCCAGAAAGAATTTCACTGTTCAAGCTTTTTATGTACAGATATATCCCTCAAATTATTTATGTACCCTATGTGAACTCTGTGTATTTTTAAACAATTTAAGTGTAAATCAGGCTGTGTTACTTGCCTGTTCAAATCCCCTTGATGGTTTCCCATTTCCCTGGAATGGAACCTAAATGACTTACCATAACTTAATGGCATTTGAGCCATCACTACTCCCTCACCTCATCTCGCTTGATTACACTGTTCTGACAACATTGGCCTGTTTTCTTTTTCTCAGGCCAAGCATTTTCTCCTTCAGGGATTTGTATTTGCTTTCCCCTCTGCCTAGAAGGCATTTCTTCCAGACTTTGGGGTTTACTCCCTTACTTTTTTTCAAATTTCCACCCACGTGAACTCTCTTTGGAGAGACCTTACTGACCACTCTATCTAAAATAATCTTACCCTCCCATTAGTTTCTTTTTCTTCTTGGCCTTGCATCATTAGCCAGATTTACATGGTATCTTGTTTATTGTCCGTCTACACCTGACTATAATCTCCTTGAAGACTTTGTCTTATTTACTACTTGTATTAGAATGCTTGCACTGCCATAACAAAAACACCACAGACTGGGTGACTTCAACACCAGAAATGTATTTTCCCACAGTTTTGAAAGCTAGAAGTCCCAAGATCAAGATTGCTGTGGATATGGTTTCTGGTAAGGACTCTTCCTGGTTTGTAGGCAGCCACCCTCTCATGATGTCCTCACAGGGCCTTCCCTTGGTGTGTACACACTCAAAGAGTGAGCATGAATGAGAACTCTCATGTCTTTTCTTAGGAGGACACTTACTGGATTGGGGCCCCATCCTTAAGACCGTATTTAACCTTAATTTACTTCTCTTACTCCAAATATAGCCTCACTAGGGTTAGGGCTTCATTGTCTGAATTGGGGGCTGGTGCATAGGCATGTACTCCATAACAGTGATGTATCCTCAGTGTCTGGAACATAGTAGTGACCTGATAAATAATTGTGAATTTTGAATGCATTTTTTAATACATAATTTGTAATAGTTCATGGTTTAGTACTTCTACTATATGTATGATTTTTTTAGTTAGCCATATGACTCATCATCCTTATAAATTAATCTTTGGCTATCAGTCAATCTGTGATTAAGATATTAGTTTTTAAATAATAATGAGAGGCAGCATTACCTTATATTTAAGAGCATGGACTTCAGAGCCAGACTGTCTGAGTTTGCATTTTTGCTCCACCATTTGAGCAAGTTTATTTACCCTGTCTTTGCTTCGGTTTTCTCCTGTATGAAATGGGATAATAATAGTATCTGTGCTCTTACTGGTAGTGTGAAACTTAAATGAATTAGTGTTTGTAGTGCTCTTAGTACCAAGCATTAATTAGTCCTAAATAATTGTTAAGTTAAAAAAAAAAAAAACTCTCTAGGAGGGCATAATTTTAAAGCCACCAAATGACATGTTAGTATAATTTTGAGAACTGATAGGAATATAAATTGCTATAGTTACTTTGGGAGATTAGTCTGCCCTGGTGGGTTAATAAAATTTTGGAATCAGCTACTCTGGAAAAGGTACTTTCATCTGAGACTCCAAACAGACATGGCCAAAAAATGAATATAGATAATTTGATACCTTTCTTGTTTGGGGTTGATTTAGTGTGCAGAGGTTGGGTTTTAATCTTCTTCCAGTTTTCTGAGTCTTTCATTTTAATTCTCACTCCCTAAAGCTTCCCACCTGCCTGAATGATTAGTGCATAGGTTCCCAAACTTTGATGCATGTTAGAACCACCGAGGCGGGGCGGGGGCGCGGGGTGGATTTAACAATTCTGATTCATGGTTCCCACCCCCAGACATTCTTCTTGTAGTTGCTGTGGTGTGTCACCTAGGCACTGGATTTTGCAGCTCTCAGGTTGATTCTAATGTGTAGCAAAGTTTGGGCATTCCTTGGTTGCTGGGATTTTCAGGTAAGTTGTGTTAGCTTATATAACTTCATTCTTCCTTTGAACCATACATAGAGACAGCAGTGTTCCATTCATGCGGAACTGCAGAGGAAGTAAGGAATGAGGGGAGGGAGCAGATTGAAGATAATCTAGGAGACCCTTAGAGCAGAGGACTTGACCAGTTCATCAAGATTAGGTGATGTGACCAGAAGTCACAACTCATACAAGCAAGGGAAATTAATAATGTATTTCATTTAACTCATTATATCCAAAATAATATCATTGCAACATGTAATCAATATAAAATATTTCCTTTTCTCTCTCCTCCCTTGGCACTAAGTCATCACTATGCTGAGTATGTTTTATACTTTGAACTAGCCACATTCAGCTGCCGAATAGCCACATGTGACTAGTGGCTTCCAAACTGGACTTCACAACTCTGGATTATAATTTTAGAACTGAGTTGTCTGAACATGTCGTGTGCTGTGTGCTCAGTTGTGTCTGCCTCTGCGACCCCATGGACTGTAGCCTGCCAGTCTCCTCTCTGCAAGGAATTTTCCAGACAAGAATACTGGAGTGGGTTGCCATTTCCTACTCTAGGGGATCTTCCCAACCCAGGGATCAAACCCACGTCTCTTGCATCTCCTACATTGGCAGACATTCTTTACCACTGTGCCACCTAGATACTTTTAAAGTAGATGTATCTTTAACTTATCCAGATTCTCTCCTTGGAATATTTTTATGTGTAGACTTTTTGTTTACATCTCAGCATTCATTAATTTCTTATAAGACTTTTTTTGTGTGTGTGTGTCACACTTTCAGTCCCTTTAATTAGGGGCTCTGAGGAGAAGGCAGAATGGCAGGCAGGGTAGAGAAGGTGGTGCTTCTTATGCCTCTTTTGGCAACCAGTTAGTCCTCATCCTCTGGCAGCTGGATCTTGCTGGGGTCAAAGCAGTTGGATTCCATGATGGGGAGGCCATGGGCCTCTCGGTATTTCACAAGCCTCTCAGCTTCCCGGCGGGCCCATTCCTGCATCCTGTAGTCAGGCAGATAAGCCACAAAGGTGCTGCCAAGGACCAAGACGATGGAGAATCCGAAGAAGAAGACAACCCTCATGTTCCAGACGTCCACAGCAGGGTCCTTGTCATAACCGTGAGAGTCTGGGTTCTTCTCATAGAGGTTTTCGTCCTCGGGGTCTGGGTCCTCTTGCCAGAGTATAGTCGGTTCTAACGGCCGCTTTCCCGCCAGAGTGGACGGGGCGATTACAGCCCTGGAGGAGCCGGATTCCCAGCGAACACGGGCAGCCGGGAGCCCTCGCGTCGCCGCTACTGCCAAAAGGCGGCGGCCGCACAAACCCAACATCCCCGCCGCCATAACAGATCGTT